GCCATAACGAACGGAAAATCCCGACGAGGACGTCCATGCAGAGAGTGGCTGGACGATATAACAGAGTGGTGTCAACGCAGTGGACAAGAATTGTTCCATTTTGCACAAGACCGACAGGCATGGAGGAATCTGATCTCGTAAATGGTTGGCCCCAACGGGCGCAAAGCCTATAGGACATGATGATGATGATAGTCATAAGAATTATAAAATAGATTTAAATGATGCAGAAACTGAAATACGTGTGTATATATATTGTAGAGAAAAAAAAGAAGAAAACGAAACGTTTTCGTCTAACTAAACAAGATAGTTCACATAACACAGAAAAATAAAAGAGAATGATATGATACCCTGGATGAATAGAAGTACAATAAATATGTATAAAGAAAAAGAAGAAGAAAACAACCTCGAATACAATGGAATATAAATCACAAGTGCATGCGAAAGAAGAAAAAGTCAAGCTATAATAGAATGAATATACAAATGACTAAACAAGAATCTTTGACTGAAATATATATAAAATCTTGACTGGTTCAGTCAGAAAAAACAAATCTGAAAAGAATGAAGACAACGAATGTCGACTAGTGAAGAGATTTTAATGGTGTATCATTCTTCGAAATTTTATTTTTGCTTTTAATAAAATATATTAATTAATAATAAAATAAAATTAGAAAAATAACGATTTGTGATTTATTAACATATAATAAACATTTTGTTTTTCGCTTGATGAGTATTTAATAATTTAAAGTTTTGTACATTTTTAAAATAAATATTATTGATTATAATATAAAAATGATTCATTGATTAATATATAATTATTATTATTATTAAAAATTAATAAATAAACTGTTTATTATTTTCGAAAGGGCTGTTTCTTCAATGATAAAAATAATATTTGTTAAATATATAAAATTTTTATATCTATCTCTATTGATATTCATAGATTTATTCTTAAATAGAGAGAGAGAGAGAGAGAGAGAGAGAGAAGTTCACTCGAGTGACAAGTTTTAATAAAAAGTAATTAAGTTTATTTCGAGTTGTTATTAGATTTTAATTAAAAACAGATATATTTTTATTATCTTTACATATGATTGGGAATTTAATTTTGTGACAAAATGATTTTCTTTAACCCTTTAAGTACCACAATTCTGCCTTTGAGAGAAATTTCTATAAGTTGTCATATTTAAGACACTCATAGTGTAGTATTAATATTTTCATCAAACTTTAAAAAAAAAGCTTTAAAGTCATTTTCGGCCCATGTCTGTACTCTACCACAGAGATGGCGAAGAAGTATTCTTCTCATCCCTGTATGGGAGTACGGGTGTGGGTCAAAATTCAATTGAGAGCTGTCACAAAATCAACCTTTTGAATATCACTAGGAGTCACTTCTAACTTGATTCCAACATGAAAAACCAAAATATTTTGGGGACAGCAAAAGGGCATTATCCGCCCTCCTCCTGTTTGGAATAGAGGTGGTGTTCCAAAAATTCATCAAGTTTACTACCTGACTGACCTCATGAGGATTATAAGTCTTATGTAGAGGTATGTACCGAAATCTCTTCTATGTCATAGAAATAGCCGCACTTCGATATCATTTTGCGTTCGCGAGTTATTCAAAAATTAAGATGCTACAAAAAGTGTTCTTTATCTAGGACGCTGGTACTTAAAGGGTTAGTCTAGTTTTTCAGTGGAACATATCTACTAACAGCATAGAATCAAAATGCTCACATCATTTTCATTATTAATATCATCGGAGGATTGATCAACTTCTTTGTATTCGGACTGTGGACAATAAAGTAATAGTATAGTCATCTTTTCTATGTGTGAGAGATCTTATTTTATGTAAATAGAATAATGAATGAACGATTAAAGATGGAACTTGAAGAAAGTAAACAATAGAACGAGGCGGGTATTAGTAATCGAATGAAAGCATTAAACAAATAATTCAGGTTAATTCATTGTAGTGGCGTCGCCAGGAATTTAGGCGTGATGGGGCTCAGCCCCATCTCTCCTTCCAATGTACTCGTTGACTGGCTCTAGACCATAACCATTATAACACGGTTTCAAATGTTATTGGTAAATTTTAAAACTATCGTTGCACTAAAATTAAATGGCTATGTGTACACTATTTGTCTTACGTTTAATATGAAGATGCCTAGTTTACGTGTGAAAAGAGAAAATTTTAAAAAAAGAAGAAAAAACATATTTATTTGAGTATAATACGACTATTTTTATGAATATCTGAAAAAGCATCAATAATCTGTTCAAAATTTAGATCTAAGTCACGTTCAATAGCCAATAAATAAATGTCGCTCAAACGAACATCAGTCATAGAATTTCTAACTGTTGTTTTAATAGTTTTCATTTTCGAAAATGTACGTTCACAAGTGGTTGATGACACCGGTATAGTCATGGTACTTTTAATGACTGCAGTAAGCTTTGAAAAAGCTTCTTTGAATAGATGTAATTCAATATATAAATCGATAATACTAGTTAATAATTTATTTTGTAGCATTGGCTTCACCACCATCAGCTCATTTGATAATGCATCGAGATCAACATTTAAATGATTAGCAAATGGTTTTAAAGTATCGAAATGTAAAAAATTATCACTCTCTGGACATAATGATGATATACCTGATAAAATTTGTAAATTTCTTGATGAAAATCGATCTCGTAACTCAACTAATATATTATCAATTAATTGGTAATAAATACACGTTCTATAATAATGTTCATATTGATTATCATCACGTTGACCGACTGTGCTATTATAATGATGGAATCTTTGAATCTTGATGAAAGTACTCCTTTTCGATGTTGTTTAGGTTCACTCATAATATCAATATTGTTTTCGTGATAAAAATTGCTAATTGTTTGAAATATTTGTTGAAACGATTTTTCTTCTCGAGATTGATTAAGTTGTTCAAGTATAGATTCAATTAATTGTTGTGCAGAATCATAGTCAAGTGTTTTTGCTAAACAAAAGCGCGGATATAACTTAATCTTTTGACGAGCTGCTGCTGCAGCTCTTACAATACCTTTTAATTTATCTGATAAAATTTTTATAGGACCTAGTAGCTTGTGCAATATAAATAGAGTTACGACAAACATTGATTCTCCCATTACTACTACCAATCCTTTTGCATCCACTGTTTGCCTACCACCTTCCTCAATCAAATTGTTTAAAGCCAAAATAATAACTTTATAGTTTCTCAAGACAGAATCTATTGATGTCTAGCGGGAATCCAACGCATGTTCGACTACGATTTCAAATTTGTTTGAACTAAAGATAAAAAACATCAATTTAAGTCGTATAAATATACTTAAAACCTAGATGTAATTGCACTTGCGCATCTCGAAAACGTTCGTTGTTAACACCTGATACGGTGAAGTATGTGTAAATTGTTGATATAATTGCATAAAATTCATTTACATAGGATACTGATACACATACATCTGCAATAACCAAATTCAATCGATGAACATAGCAATGCACGTAAATTGCGTTCGGCATGAAATTCTGCCGTAAGATAGCCTGTACACAAGCATTTTTTCCTCCCATGACAGAGGCTCTATAAAGTACAAGCAAAACTCTAGTTTGATGTATTTTGATTCATGTCTGAATTAAGAAATTACCCATCGAAACACATTGCAATACACGAGTATAAATCGATATTATATTTTCTTAATATATTAACAATAGCATCAGCCAATGACTTAGCATCAAACGAATGTAGTGCAATTAAACCGATAAAACATTCTTCTATAAAATTCTTTGAGTCTTTGGTTTTTTCATCATCAATAACTCTAAGTATGACAGACATTTGCTGATGACCAGCTCGTCTTTCATCAGCTAGCAATGCATAAACTTTATTTTTTAACTAAATCAAATAAAAACCTCATTATTTTACTTTTAGAAAAAATTATAAGTTGAAAATACTTCTTCAGAAATACGGTATCTAAATTGCTCAGCCATCAAATTTATAAGCTCGTTTTGAGTACATGGAGATAAATATGTAGCATTGCTTGTTGAATCATCAAAAATCGACTTGACTATTGGATCAGTTACAGATGACCACTGTAGAATCTCTAACAAATTTTCTCTGTTATTTGACCTAGAGAATCAAAAGAAATATTTGATATAAAATTACAATATAGAAGATCTTAAACCTTTCTGTTGATGTTCTTCATGGCCTCTTAAAGAAATCATCTGTCTACAGCATAAATGGATAACTGATGAACTTTTAATTAGACGTTCGCGGTTTTTGCGAATCTGTTCAAGTCTTCCTTTATCCATTATATTAATAATGGTTTCTTTAGACTTTTCACGTATACGAAATTGATTATGATTTGATGTTGCTTGAATGTGTGCTGTACTTGTTTCGTGTAGCTGAAATCTTCTATTTTTACCAAGTGCATGCTTCCAGTTATTATATCCAATGATAAAAGCATCACTTTGATTTCGATTGATCAAATTATTTGTTGAGCCAAAATGTCTACAGTAATAGCAGTAAACTCGGTCATGAGCTATAGAGTATTCCAACCATGGCCTATTATTGAACCATTGTTTTTGAAAAGATCTATTTTCTTGATTTATTTTGTATGATGGCAGGATAGGTTGTGATAGTGGATCAAACGACGAACGACTAATATCAGCAGATCTTGAAGATGTTGTTGCAGATATTGATGGTGAAGTAGGCTGAGAAGATGGGCTCACTGATGACCTATTTGCATCAATAGAAACTACTACTGGTGATAATAATGATGTTGATGATAATGGTGATGGGGGATCAATTAATGAATGACTAGTGTCAATTGGTATTATGGCAAATGATTGTGCTGATAAATTTGATATTAATGATGGAGCATTTGATGTTAATGATGCTGAAATAGATGTTAGGTCCTTTTTCCCGTTTCTTTATTCCTTCTTTCTTCACCAAAAAAACAAAGATTAATTAATT